CAATGGACCATCCAGTCCAACACTCTGTGTCACACAGTGGCCAAAAACACCCGGTGCCATCAGGGGGTCCAGCAGTGGGGCCAGGACACTAGAAGCCCTCTCACTGTTGCCCCCCCCCAAGCACCAAGAAGACAGAGCATCGCTTGTCCCAGACCGAGAGTTCTTATCTATACCTTGTGGCTAATAGCCACTGATGGATCTCTAGATGTTTAGACCTTTAGATGCCTACACATATATAACAACAGCATTGTGTACATAATGTAAAAAAGAAAAACGGGGAGTCCCAAAGCATCTTTTTTACAAGAAAAACCAACTGGGAGATAAATTCTTAGCGGAAGAAGATGAGTGCGTGCACTGCAGTAGTCAACATTCCCTTCTGTGCTTCCCCATTGAACTTTCTTCACGCTTTGTATAATCCCATAAATGAAAAGCCACGAGGGAGGGGGGGGAACAAGGGCTACCAGCCTCCACATGCCGACTGGAGATCTCTCGCTATTACAAGTGATCCCCCGATGACAGAGATCAGTTCCCCTGGAGAAAAGGGGGGCTCCGGACTCTGTGGCGTTCTGGCCCCTCCCCTCCCCAAACGCCACCTTCCGCCAGGCTCCACCCCCCAAAATCTCCAGGGATTTCCCAACCCAGAGCCGGCAGCCCTGTGTGGGGATGATTTGAAAAGGCGGTCGGAGGAAGAAAAGTTATGTATCCCCTTCCCTCTGCCTGTTCTCTGCTGAAAAGAAAATCTACAACAACTAATGAACTCCGGCCGTGAAAGCCTTCGACGACATATTTTTGGAATTGTTTTGGGGTTCCATTACGCACATGGATGTGTAATATGTAGTGTCACTAGTACCTGACTGCAGGGGTCATTTTGTAGAAAAAGAGGTGCAGGAGCTCATTATCACAACTCATTAGCATAACTTATTTGCATATGCCACACCCCCTGACATCACCAGAGGTGTGTCAGAAGGCAACACCCACTGCTCAGGCTCCACTGGACTCTTTTGGATGGCTAGCTATTGGGGGGGGGGAACGTGCAGATCTGTCCTCGCAGAGGAGGAAGAGATACTACCTGAATAAAACTTTGTATTAAAGGTGCCACTGGACTGTTTTGTACCGGGGGGACTGGGGGGGGGTTCTGCAACTTACCTGGCTGCTTCTTGCTCTGACTGAGAGCTGCTGGGAGCAGGGGGTGGGGCTTATTGCATGTGCCCGCCCCCTGGGCTCTTTACTGCCGGAGCTCCGCGGCTACCCATCTGGATCTCTCTCAGAGAAAGACGTCCCTGTTGTTTTGCCCTCACACCAAAAACACAGCTTTTTTTCATTCGATAGCCACTATCTCCCCTTCCTGACACAAGTTTACAGTTCACAGATACTTAGATCTGTTAAAATGGAAATTCTGTCTCATTCAGCGGGTTACCTCATCAGTTTCTGCAAACAACTCCTTACGTAAACTTATAAAACACTCAAGACTCTAAATTTATGGAGGCTTACATCCAGTGAAACTTAAAGCAAATCATAAACACGACAGAATCATAAGCTCTTCCCCCCCCCCTCCAAGTTACAAAACTTCAGCCATAAACCCACTAGGTTGAAAATTCTCCCTTGGAGATTTACTGAATCTGCGTTTTATGCATTGGCCTACATGACAATGTTCAGTTCTCCGTCACTGCTGCAACCGCCCAACACAAGTATGTCCTTAATTGCACTCTAAGAAAATTAATAGGTTTCTCATTGGCTTCATAAATACCTGACGTGGCATCAGCACAGCGCCGGCAGCATGGGGCGCTCCAGTTTTTGGACAAAAACTGTACGGTTCTCCCATACAGTGTTTGCCCAAACACCAGAGCGTCTGGCATTTCCAGGCATGGTCATTAAGAATATCACACAGGCCATCACCTGGATAGCCCAGGCAAGCCCTATCGTGTCAGATCTTGGAGGCTAAGCAGGGTCGAACCTGGCAAGTACTTGGACGGGAGGGCCTCCAGGGAATATCAGGGCCGGGAGGCAGAGGCAGGCTATCAAGCCACGTCTCTGAACGTTCTCTATGCCTCAGTAGGAGTCGCCAGAGGTCTCCGTGATTTCCAGGCACGGGCACACACACACGCAAATGCAAAAAAGAACATCACACAAGGTTTATACCGTGCTTTCAGCATTCAAAGCACTTCAAGCACACTGGGTTGGATTGGGGGGCCCTGGCTCAGTGGTAGAGCATCTGCTTTGCGTGCAGTAGGTCTCAGGTTCAGTTCCCGGCATCGCCAGTTAAAAAAGGAACAGGCAGTAGGGGATGAGAAAGAAGGGTTGCCATACCTGGCCTATCGAGGCTGGCAGGGGGGCTCCCGATGTCCGGAAGTGCAGGCCCCGACAGGATGACGTCACCTGGAAGTGACATCATCGCATCAGGGATATCGGGGGTGATGCTCTGGTTTTGGGGCAAAAGTGGATTTGTGGCAAAGGCCACGTTTGAATCAAGGACTTCCTGGATCACGGCCACGATACCATATGGAGAAGAGGAGAGCGTTCCAAAATCTGTGACGTCATTGGTAATATCTGTATTTGTGTCTCCAAGTTGGGGGCAAATCGCACATCACAATGTTTTCGTGGATGCCAGATGTGCAACGGGAGTTTTGTGCCTCCCAGACATACATGGGCCCAGTTCAGACCACAAGTAAGAACATAAGAACATCAGAACATAAGAGACGCCAATGTTGGATCAGGCCAAAGACCCATCTAGTCCAACATTCAGACCACAAGTACAGTAAGCTCCAGGGACTTCACCCTCTCCCCCCCTCCGCCCATGCCTCCCCCCCCCCAGGAACCACTGTCTTCCACTGTGAAAATTACATAACTTACAGTTTTGCCTTTCCATTTTTTCAAAGTTCCTGTAAGAAAAATCCATATTTTCTGCCTCCTGCTGCTGCTATTACTACTAATATTATTATATCAAAACTTTAAAGAACCCCAATCTGGCCTCCTTCGGGAGACAGCTGTTGTGTTTGGTCTCTTAAGTCCTTAATCAGAAATACTGAATTATGCCAAAGAGTCACTAATGCTTCTGTTTTAATAAACGCTATTTTTCTTGATTTAAAATTTATTAGAAGTAAACATGGTTAGCAGACAAGGATATCGATATTTCTTGTGCCTACTGAAGAGGAAACAAACAGGATATTCCATCTCAACAGCCAACAGCTAACTAGCAAGGTGAAAAAGTGAAAGGTTTCTGCTTATGTGCTTGTCTTTTAAAAATCAAACCATAAAGGGACCTCCCAAAGCAACTGTCCGTGAGACAAGAAGAATCCAGACAGCTGTACCAAGTCAGAGGCAGTGCCAAAGATGACAGCGTTCCGATCCACAGAGTCCCAGAAGTACGGGGATATTTAAATTCTGTCCTAGCTCAACCTAGAACAGAACAGAACTTTAATTTTGCAAACTTCTAGAGAGCTGGAGACGGGGCCCAGTTTGCAACCACTGCTCTAAAAATTACATCGCTCCTTTGCCATAGTCTTCACGGTCTGGCGCAGGATTTACAGCACAATCCTAAAGAGAGCGACTTCTTTTCTGAACCAGCATCTTCAATGCATTTGGAAGGATGTAACTTTGCTTGGGATTGTAGGGTGACCAGCTCTGGGTGGGGAAATACCTGAAGATTTTGAGGATAGAGATTGGGGAAGGCGGGGATTAGGGAGAAGAGGGTCCACCCTCCAAAGCAGCCATTTTCTTCAGGGGAGCTGATCTCCCTCATCTGGTGATTGGCTCTGGTAGCTGGAGGTCTCCAGGCCCAACCTGGAGGGTGGCAACCCTATAGCAAAGAGTGGTCCTGGATTCATTGCTCTTCATGTGCCTTCTTGAGCCAGTTTGGTGTTGTGGTTAAGTGCGCGGACTCTAATCTGGGAGAACCGGGTTTGATTCCCCACTCCTCCACTTGCACCTGGCTGGATGACCTTGGGCAAGCCACAGTTCTGGCACAGCTGTTCTTGAAAAAGAGCAGTTTCTGTCAGAGCTCTCTCAGCCCCACCTACCTCACCGGGTGACTGTTGTGGGGGATTTGCAGGTGTAATGTTATCTTATTGATTAAGCTTTATTTTATTGTTTTATATGCCAATAAAGGTGTTGTGTTGTATTGTATTGTCTGTTGTAGGGAGGGGAAGGGAAAGGAGTTTGCAAGCCGCTCTGACTCTCTTGGGTAGTGAAGGGCGGGGTATAAATCCAATCTCCTCCTCCTCCTTTCGGCCTTCAACGCTCCCTCTAAGCTGTGGAACCTTGTGAGCAAAAATTCTACTTTGTGAGCTACTGGCATTAAAGTTGTGAGCGCGCGATTTGGCTACGGCATAAATCAGTTTGCTCTGGAGCCCTCCTTCCTGAGCAGAGACAAAAATGTGTGAGCTGGAGGCTAAGAAACTGTGAGGTAGCTCACACTAACTCAGCTTAGAGGGAACACTGACTTTCCCCTGTCCCGGTTGGAAACTCAACAAGTAACTCACTAGAAGGAGATATCAGAAGCAACATTAAATGCATACCTAAGAAAGGAGATTACCACGTGAAACAGAAGTTTGAGTCCAGCGGCAGCTTGAAGACGAACACAGTTTCATTCACGGTATAAGCTTCCGTGTGCTTAAAGATAACCACTGGACTCACACTCTGTTCTGCTGCTTCAGACCCACACGGTGACCCCACCTGGATTTGTATGAAACAGAGTAGTTTTAGATTCCTTTTCAAGAACTTGGGCATCTGTTTCATCAGGTCAGCCAATGTGGTTCTTGAATCAATCGTCTGTCAAGTGATTTACATCTAGAGCCTTATTTCCTCGGTACAAAAGAGCAAGACTCCAGTAACAGCTTAAAGACTAACAGAATTTTGTGGCAGGGTAGGAGCTTTGGTGAGTCACTGCTCACTTCTTCAGGTACTTGGTACTTGGGAGGGGACAACAGTGGGAGGGCTTCTGGAGTTCTGGCCCCACTGGTGGACCTCCAGATGCCCCCTGGGTTTGGGCCACTGTGTGACACAGAGCGTTGGACTGGATGGGCCGTTGGCCGGAGCCAATATGGCTTCTCTTATGTTCTTACGTCTGGGGCAGAGATGCTCTCTGTTCTTGGTGCCTGGGGGGGGGCAACAGTGGGGGGGCTTCTGGAGTTCTGGCCCCACTGGTGGACCTCCTGAGGGCCCCTGGGTTTTGGCCACTATGTGACACAGAGTGTCGGACTGGATGGGCCGTTGGCCTGATCCAACATGGCTTCTTTTACATTCTTATGTCTGGATCAGGGATTCCCTCTATTCCTGGTGCTTGGGGGGGCGACAGTGGGAGGGCTTCTGGTCATGCTGGTGGACCTCCTGATGGTTTGCCTACTGTGTGACACAGAGGGTGCGTTCAGACGGGGGCTTTCTGCCGGCATAAACTGCACCGCTTGGAACCGGTGCAGTTTATGCCGGCAGAAACGCGATCAAACTTACCTCCATTTTGCGGTTCCCATCGTTGTACGCCCGGTCACATGCTGCGGGCGTCGGCGAGTTGTTGTTGTTTTTTTAAACACAGCTTGAGCATGCGCATAGGCAGCCATTCACAGAATGGCGATCTTTGCGCATGCTAAAAAAAACCCATTACATTTAAACTTTAAAGGTAAGGACTTACCTTTAAAGTTTAAAGCCCAAACTGGCCTCCCTTAAGTCCCGGACTCCTCTGGGTAGGTAAAGTAAGGGCTTCCCCCCCCCTTTTTTTTTTTAAACAAACGGCTCAGGGCGAAGCTTCGCCCGAGTGCATATCGCTTAGAGTTTAAAAAAAATGGCGGGGGGA